ACTGTAAAATGCAACCACCAAACCTTAACCAAGTTAAGAACTCAGCAGAGGGAGGGCTGGCCAGCTGGCCAGGGGAAGAGGCATGTGATAGCTAACTGAGGAGCTGACTTCAGTCCGGAACCCTTGCTGAACTGTGAAGGCTGACTGAATCCCTGGACCCTGCCACTGGGTCGTACCCTCTGTGTAACAGTTGGATGTAACTATTTAACTTCATCTCATATCACACTGCAAAGGGAAAAAATTTTCACTTATACTTTCTTCTCTTTTATTTAATTCAAAAGCAAAAGTTTGGATTAGTTTGGACACTGGGTTCAAGAGCTTTTAAAAGACAGTATTTCCCCCCATTTTTAAGGACTCACACATGATACCAGCGAATAGAAAGCCTTGTGTCCCATTGCAGGACAGCTACTGCATAATGATTGCACAACCGAGTGCTGAAAAATGGCCGACTCCTGGCTTTGGCTATGACTTTAATTATAGGGGTAGGCGACAAGATTAAACGGTGAAAGTGCTTCCATCATTTGGACACTCAGTGTAGAGTTTGTTCATTTCATAATTATGCCAGCAAACACGACTGTATATGTTATAATTTAGAAATCCCATTTTATAGTTTGCCTGTTCTAAGGTGAAATAATGCATTGAATAATCTGGGAGTTGGGACATGTTTTTCTTTTTAAAGTCCTTGAGAAAAACTTCATATCTACGGAATAAGAAGGAAGGAAAATGGAACATGAAAGGAAAAGATGGAAGCATGCACAGATGAGGGAGAGGAATGTTGTGGTGAAAATGACCTCACTTCTTAAGAAACGTGCGCTTTTGCTGTTAAAAGTCAGGCAAGTTCACGGGGGCTGGAGACTTAAAAGGATAACAAAGGTTAAATGGACATTTCACTCTACTACCCAGAGATGATCACTTTTGACATTTGGATCTTTGAGCTTTATCTGTGTAGACCTTGCCTGTGTGTGTGCCAGGACGCACAGCAAAGACCCGCTGTAGAACAGAGAGTTAGGACCAAGAGAGCTGTGAGTGTGAGCGAGAGTGTGTCAGTGAGTGAGTGTGTGTGAGAGCGAGAGAGTGTCAGTGAGTGTGTGTGAGAGCGAGAGAGTGTCAGTGAGTGAGTGTGTGTGTGAGCGAGTGTGTCAGTGAGTGTGTGAGTGTGTGTCAGTGAGTGTGAGCGAGAGTGTGTCAGTGAGTGAGTGTGAGTGAGAGTGAGTCAGTGAGTGAGTGTGTGTGAGTGTGTGTCAGTGAGTGAGTGTGTCAATGTGTCACTGAGTGAATTGTGTGTGAGTGTCAGTGAGTGAGTATGTGTGTGTCAGTGAGTGTGTGTGAGTGAGTGTGTCAGTGAGTGTGTGAGAGAGTGTGTATGTGAGTGTGTATGTGAGTGTGTATGTGAGTGTGTCAGTGAGTGTGTCAGTGAGTGTGTCAGTGAGTGTGTGTGAGAGCGAGAGAGTGTCAGTGAGTGTGTCAGTGAGTGAGTGTGTGGGAGCGAGTGTGTCAGCGAGTGAGTGAGAGTGTGTGTCAGTGAGTGAGTGTGTCAGTGTGTCACTGAGTGAATTGTGTGTGAGTGTCAGTGAGTGTGTGTGAGAGTGTGTCAGTGAGTGTGTGTGAGTGAGTGAATGAGTGTGTGTGAGTGTGTATGTGAGTGTGTCAGTGAGTGAGTGAGTGTGTCAGTGTGTCAGTGAGTGAGTGTGAGTGAGTGTGTCGGTGAGTGAGTGTGTCAGTGTGTCACTGAGTGAATTGTGAGTGTGTGATTGTGTGAGTGTGTGTGAGTGTGTATGAGTGTGTGTTTGTGTGTGTTGTTACTCTGGCTCCCCTGGCTGGCGTGCACTTTATCACTCCATCTCCTTACTAATTTATTTCACAAGTATCCAGTGTCCCCACACCCTAAGTGCAGTGTGGGCCTGGGCCCCTCCCCCTCTGGGTGATGCTAAGGTTTTAGCGAATAAAGGAGGACAGGGTCTGCTTGCACCCGCGCGTGACTTCATGGGCAGAGACTCTGAGGGGTCAGCAGGAAGGGGCAGCATCTCTTCTGGCGACAGTTGGGGTCAGCACAGCTGCTCTGGTCGCTCACGGAGGCTGCCTGGCCTCAGGACCTGAGGAGAGGGCTCCTGACTTGTCCCTGGCTGACTGTGGCATGCTGGGTAGTGCACTCTGTGCCCTCTGGCAGCCACCAGCATCTCCTGAGCACTTACTCGGCAGTCAGGACGCTACCCCCTCCCCCCCAGGACAAGCCTGCTAGATAGAATCTCCTTCACAGATGAGTAAACTGAGCACGCAGGCACGCTCAAGGTCACGTGACGGCAAGAACCAGCCAACAGCTCCAAACCCTCCATTTTCCTGTCGGATGAAACTTACCACTTATAATTAATAAGCACCCATGTAGCTCACTAGATTTAGTCCTGAGTTTCCTTGTAAGTGCTTCGTTATGGGCACTTAAACCACAAGGCCACTATGAAAAATATTTACCAGTAGAAAATCCACTTTGCTTCCTTTTTTGTTTTCGAGATGGCTCTGGCTGTCCTGGAACTCCCTCTGTAGACCAGGCTGGCCCCTCGGGCTGGCAGTACTGGGATTAAAGGCCAGTGCCACCCACCACACCCGCCACACCTGGCCAGTTGTCATGTTTTTAATTTTTTTTTTTTTTTTTGAGAGACAGTCTCCAGCATCCCAGGCTGACCTCAAGCTCACTCTGTAGCCCCAGATGACTTTGACTTGGTCCTGCTGAGCTTATGGGTGCTTATTAACTAGAAGTGACACCCATGGGTCACGGTGCCTGCAGTGCTGGGGTGGAACTCGGGCTTTTGTGTGTGCAGCAATCACTCCACTCACGGAGCTCCAAGCCAGCCCAGAAGTTTCCACTTTATATTTTAAATCCACCACGGTACTGGAGCTTACTTCCTTGGGGAAAGTCTCGACTAATTAGTGCATTTCATTTTTCTTTCTGGTGTTTCTAAAGAACAAATGAAATCTTGCTCTCTATCTGTGGCCTAGCCTGGGGTTTTAATGTGGTAAAATAAAACAGAACATTGACTTTCCTATTGTGACCATGGGGCAGATCCACGCAGATCCATGGGGCCATCAGCACTGTCCTCTTGAGCCCTTTCCCAGGCTGCTGGAACTAAAGAGCAACCCCCCCCCCCATGAGTGTTGTTTGTGAAGGAAAGAGATCCCATATTACACTTACCTTCTTGATGTGAGTGAGTGCATAATTGTTTTCCGGATGTGAGGGAGGGGACAGTAGCTAATATAATGGCAAATGCAGAAGCCTACTACTGACAAAGGTGTGTAATTTGTAAAACAGCTGAGTGGGCACAATTCTGATTTCCCGTCGCCCTCGGCACCCCAGCGCACCTCTGATAATGCTTTCCTTGGGCGTGTGTGTTTGCGTTGCTAAAAATCACATCCGTGCACAAAATGCCAGCTTAATTATAAGAACCAGTGCCAAGCGTGAGGTTTTACATTTTCTTTTTACATATGCTTTCTGATTTGCAGATGAGACAATTCTAACCGATTTCTAAAGAGTGGAATAGGTTTGGAGTGGTAGGGTTGTGAGTGCCCCTCTGTCACACTGAGACACCCTTTGGCCTTTCCCTGTCCCCTGTGGCCACTGCCCACCCCCCTGCCCTCTATACCCCCCCCCCCAAGTGGTGATTGCATGGCCTCCCAAGGTCCTTGCTGTAATTTTAATATCAGGCAAATGTACCAGGTTTCCTGCCAGAGTTAGGGTTTCTATGCTACAATACCATGACCAAAAGGCAAGTTGGGGAGGAAGGGGTTTATTCAATTTACACTTCCAGGCTGCTGTTCCTCACCAAAGTCAGCTCAGGAACTCACACAGGGCAGGTGTCTGGAGGCAGGAGCTGATTCAGAGGCCACAGAAGGGAGCTGCTTACTGGCTTGCTCAGCCCACCTTCTTATAGAACCCAGGACCATCAGCCCAGGGATGGCACCACCCACCATGGACTGGGCCCTCCCCCATGGAGAAAATGCCTCACAGCTGGATCTCACAGAGGCATTTCCTCAGCTGAGGCTCCTCCCTCTCTGATGACTCCAGCTTCTGTCAAGCTGACACACAAAACCAGCCAGTACACTTTCCTATGGTTTGGGGCACAGGCAGGGGTCATTGGGAATGACATTTATCTACACACTTGGCCTCAGCTAAATCACTTAAGCTCAAAACAGTAATCGTGAAAATGGCCGAGCCAGGTAGAGTAATGCATACGCCGTACGTCTGGAGGCTGAGGCAGTTGGATTACTAAGAGTTTCAGGGCAGCCTGAGTTAGATAGTGAGCTCCCAGCCAGCCTAGGCTACATTGACCCTTTTCTCAAAAGCAACAACAAAAATGGTTTAGACTTGCCAGGCGTTGGTGGCACACACTTTTATCCCCCACCCCCCCAGAAGGCAGAGGCAGGTGATCTCTGAATTCAAGGACAGTCTGGCCTACAGCGAGAGTTCCAGGACGGCCAGGGCCACACAGGAAACTCTGTCTTGGAAACAAAAACAAAAACAGGTTTAGACTCTGAGGCATGCCCCAGCCCCTACGTTGTGTTTTTACCCATAATTCTGTGAGGCAGAAGTGAATGACTATGTTCCACGTGGGCCAGCTGAGGAACAGAAAGACCGTATAACAAGCCTCAGGTGCCCAGTTAGTAAGTAGGAGTCAAAGCAGGCACAGCCAGTTTTTCTCAACAGGAGGGGCCCTTGGGAGAGCATGGGGTTAAGGCAGAAGCTCCCCACACAAAGCCTGCATCTCCTCCCTGTCTCAACAGGGTTAGGCAAAGGCCCGTCGATGGAGGCCCCAAGCAGGGGAGGTTGAGGGACAGCAAGGGCCCATTGTAGCCATGTGTCATGTGCATGCTGTGTCCTTTCCTTATTCTCAACAACCACCAGCAGCCCAGTCACCCCAAAGTCACCATCTAAGTCACCCCGTGACATGCTTCCAGTTAAACAAGAGCAAAGAAGACCACGACCCCCCCCCCCTTCTCTGTTTTAATTCTAGCCACTTGGAGCCAGTGACTATTTGGAACTATCAAAGAATTTTGATACGGTATTTGTACGAAACATTCCACAGTTTTCACTGGCAAAGCGGACTCAAGCGAGGCGATTCATAACTCTCATCGATAACTTCTATGACTACAAGGTAAGGATGGGCTCCATTTTCACGGGACTGTGAAGTCAGATGTCCTGGGTCAGAATCCTGGCTGTACCAATTCCTTTACTGCTGTGCCTCAGTTTCCCCATGGGGGGGCTAACAGTATCTGTCCCCTGTGGTCGTTGTGAGGACCACACAGGTTGGTCCCTGTAACGTGCTTGAAACCACATTTGAGCCACGCTGAATGCGGTGTACTTCCTATTAAAAACAGCGGCGGCTAGCGTCAGGCTCCACCGAAAGTCTGCTGCTACGTGAATGCCCCTTCCTATAAGTAGGGGCTGTGTGCACCAGACTGAGGGCTCAGTGCACGTCTGAGCTGAATGACAGGGGACCCTTTGCCTTGTTGAAATGTTTCCCTACGGTCTCCCCAGCCTCACCGCAAACCGTAGCAGTAAAGGTAAGAGCACTGTGGAAGGACCCTGGGATCCGGGCTGCGGCTGCCACAGGCCTGGCTTCCCTGTAAATAGACAGCTCCTTCTGTTAGTGTCACAGCGTGGTCTAAGACTTGCAGAAACGTTGAAAAGTGCTGTGTGTGAGGTTTTCAAATCACCGCTTAACTACAAACTACTAGGAGAAAACAAAACAAAACAAAAAACCCCACAGACATCTTGAAGCAAAGACCCACGCTCACTGTGTGGCGAGCAGGTAAAATCCCTGTGAGATTCTTCTTTCCCACCCTGTACTCCTTTCCTGGTTCAGGTGCGCATAATTTGCTGTGCGTCGGCTCCTATCCCCAGCTTGTTCTCGATTCAACACCATGACAGTGAGTTGGAGCAGAGCAGGATACTGATGGACGACTTGGGGCTGGACCAGGTGGGTGATAGTAACAATTGTGGTTTTGCAGAAGGAGCTGTTGAGTTGATGTCTTCTAGCCAACTCCATCTCAGAATGGGCACATTCAGAGGTGCTGGTCTAGAGGCCCTGTTGAGGGTGCAGGACCAACGCTCCATTTTCACACAGTAGAAACAGCGTCTCAGCTGCAAGTCCCAGCTGAGGAAAAAAATCCATGGCCTCGGGAATGTTGATTGTCAAAAAGCAACACCTGTGTGCAGTCATTGCACCTGAGGAGCTGGTCAGTCAGATAGTTTCTCATCACAGACCTTTGAAATCCCTCTAAGGGTCAGGCTCCAGACTTAACGCCCAACATGGAGAAATCAGGGGATGTGACCTGAGGTTCTAGAGTCACAGTGATGTGGCTTAGAAGTGGTGAGCTTTTTTCTGTAAGAACTCAAGAGCAAACCCCCAAGGAGAGAAAGAAGAATCCTCATAACCACAAGCCCATGATGGTGTTCCTAGTCCCAGGGTGTTTGTTGACTGGCTTCACGGCGGGAGGGGTCCCCAACATACTCCTCAGCAAGGAGGCCAACATCCCAATAGCTAAGGACCAAAAGCGGCTCTAGTCTTTGCAAACTTCTTCAAGCAGGGTGGACCCATAGGACCTTTCGGTCACTCAGTCTACAAAAGGCTCTTCAGGCATCTGTCCCTGGGCCTTACTAACTTACTAGAGCTTGTGGGATTCATTTTTGGGTTGTTAAGACAGGCACTGCTTTGAACTTGCAACCTTCCTGTGGATTTCTGTGATTATAGGATATGTCACCATGCCCAGCAAAACTATCATTTTTTTTTGTTTGTTTTTGCCATTAACTACTTTTGAAGAGAGATTTCTTTCCAGCTTGTTCTCATAGCTTGCAGAGAACATCCTTCTAAGCAAAACCTTTTAGTTTCTGTTCCAGTTTTGATCTGATATTTTTCTTTTCTTTTTTCCTTCCTGGTTCTGTTGATTACCTATTAGTTTAGATCAGGTAACAGTTTAGTCCCATGTAAGAGATTGTGTGTATGTGTGTGTGGGGGGGGATATATTATCTAAGCAGATAAGCCTGAAGGTGTTTTCAGCCCGGGTTTGGTCCACAAGTGTTCGTCTGGAGTAGCCGGTTTTCACTGGGGCTTGCTTGCTTTGTCTGCTCTGTCTCAGGACTCAGCAGGACTCTCCATGTTCACTGGAGAAGAGGAAATCTTCGCATTTCAACGCACGATTTCCCGCCTCACAGAGATGCAAACTGAGCAGTACTGGATCGAAGGGGACAGAAGCAAGAAGTAAGGTCACTTTCACCTGTGACATGAATAAAAACAGTGCTGCGAGACGGCACTGTGAGACTTGACGAAATCATCTCTCCATCATCCATTCTGCCCTTTGTCCTCCAGACTCCGGTCATCTGAGGCAGTGGACGATGACACTGAATCTGGCCTTTGTAGAACCACGTTTCGCCCGTCTATTTGGACTCATTTCTACGTCGTGAAATGGAATCATCACTCCTGGAGATTACTATAAAAGCTGACATGTTAGCACCGGACTGAATCATGGACATGCAAACACACAGTGAATGCTGGCTGCCTGGGTAATCTCAGTTTTGGCTGCACTGTAGTCTCACCTTAGAAATACACTTGCTATAAGGTGCAGGTGGAGTTCCGCTTTGCAGTTCGAAACAAAGAAAGCTTCTGGACATATGAACTGAAGGGGAAAGCATCTTGCGTTGGCCTCTGTCTTCCTGTTGGCTGCTTATGAATTGCACTCACACCCAGGGCTTCGGGTTTCCTCTGTGCTACAGAGAATCGGCGTCTAAGCCATAGATAGATCCAGGCTGAGTACGTGGGTTACAAACCCATCGAGGAAGTGGGAAATTCCAACTAACAGCCGGGTCTCCCCTCTGCCAGCCAAGGAGGGCAGGTACCCAGGACAGGACGTGACTGACTGCGGGAGCTCGGGAGGAGGCGGAGCCACAGCAGCAGCAGAGTGGACCCACACTGCAGTGTTCATTGCCCGCCCTTGATGCTGAGACTGCAAAAAGCTGGACCTCGTAGGAAACAGGAGAGCACGCTTGACAAATCCATAAATAAAAGCTGATTTCTTCTTCACGGAGTTTCTCTGAGTCATTTAAGTAAAACCTGTCTCTTCTAGGTATTATCACAAAAGGAGACTTGGGTTGTGGTTATGGGGGTGGGGTGACTCCGCAGTTAAGAATGCTTGCTGAGGGCGGGAGGGGTAGCTGAGACTCTAAAGACTAGACTCACAACCAAAAGTATAAGAATGTTTGCTGATCTCTCAGAGGACCCGAGCTCGGTTCCCAGCACCATGTCGGATAGCTCAACCCACCTGTAACTCCAACCCCAAAGGATTTGATGCCCTCTCCCAGCCTTCAAGGGCATTCACATGCTCATGTCATGTACCCACATAGGCAAACCTCCATACAAATAAATAAATAATAATAAAAAAAAAAACAAGTTATTTTAAAAAGAGAAAGCGAATCTGAAGTTCTGGCCCAGTGAGATGGCTCACCAGACAAAAGAGCTGCACACAACCCTGACAATCTGAGTTCAAACCTTGGAACCCACAGTTGGTTCTCAATGTTGTCCTCTGACTATCATACTTATGCTTGTACTTAACATACACACATGTACATAATAAATGGAGTAAATTTTAAAAAGACCTTCTTAATCCCTCTTCAGAAAAGAAAAGCCATGAAACCCCCAACATGACATGAAAATGAACTGTTTGGGGAGTAGTCTAACAATCATATGCCTATCAGTGTAAATAGGTTCTTTGAGGCTATCTGTCATCTAATAATCTGCCCACATCATTCTACTTTTGAGACTAACTTTTTATGTCAAGAAGATGGATGAGTAGAGTACCCATGCATGGAAAAAAAAGTTTGAATTTGGCTTCTGAAAGTTAAATGTGGTGTAACAGTTTATGTATGTACATACAGACGGGTGGTGGACAGACAGGTGGATGGACTGGATGGATGGGTGGGTGGGTGGGTGGGTGGATAGTTGGGTGGATGGGTGGGTGGAAGGATGGATGGATGGCTGGGTGAATGGATAGGTAGGTACATAGATTTTTGCGGTACTTGCTACCAAACTCAGTGCATTCGCCTGTGCCAGGTAAATGCTCCACCACTGAGCTGCCTCACTCAGGCACACTCTAGTCCTGTGTCATTATTGGGGAGCCAACAGTCCCAATGAAAACTCCACATACAGGCGAGGACACCTCCTTGCCCAGTGTGGCAGTTGAATGTAATTAGCCCCATAAGCTCAAAGGGAGTGAGTGCCATTATTAGGAGGTGTGGCTTTGTCGGAGTAGGAATGACCTTGTTGGAGGAAGTGCATCCCTGTGGGGCGGGCTTTGAGGTCTCCTATGCTCAAGCTATGCCCAGTGTCTCAGTTCCCTTCCTGTTGCCTCTCAGCTCCTTGTCCAGCACCATGCCTGCCAGCACACCACAATATCCCACCATGATGATAAATGGCTGAACCTCTGAACTGAAAGCCACCAAATTAAATGTTTCCCTTTATGATGTTGCTGTTGTCATGGCGTCTCTTCACAGCAATAGAAACCCTGACTAAGACACCTAGTCACATCAACCAAATCAACCTAGTGACCAATGTGTGTGTGACCAGTATCACAGCCAGATTGCCCTCACATCTGAGGTCAGTTATTTGGAATACAATTTCATTTTTCATTAATCAATGGTGTAATATCGACTCCCAGTGCTATTAGATAGCCTTTTAAAATACTGTGACTGAAGGGTGAACGGCAGTAAAGCTCCGCCCACATTGCAGGGTGTGCCCTCTCCTGTTCCCACCCCTCCAGCCCCAGGACCCTTCCCCAGCTCCCTAGGCCTACTGGGAGGGGCTTTCTGAGCCTGGAGTTGGGAGCAGAGAGGAAGGCTCTACCTCCTTATCAGGAAGTTCTGCATATGATCCATCTTCATCCAGGCCTCTTCTCCACAGTCAGCCTTACAAAACAGCATGCAAGAAAAAGAAAGAAAAACAGCCAGACCGAAAGGAAAACAGAGGTTGGGTGTCGTCCTTCACCCACATTCTCAGGACTGGGAGGATTCTTAATGCAGTGTTTGGAGGATATTTGCATATTTATAATTTTATATCTTTGGGCCAGCACTACAGCCTAAACAGAAAATTCGTTTAAGTTTCATGTAAACCTACACATAGCCCAAAGGTAATTTTTTTTTGTGGTATTTCTAGTGTACCTGAGTTTTAAAGATATTTATTTATGTGCATGGGTGTTTCACCTGCATGTAACTGTGCACCATGTGCTGGGCATGTCTGAGACCTTCAAAGCCTGAAGAGAGAGAGCATCAGATCCCTTAGAACTGGAGTTACAGACAGTTGTGAGATGGCATGTGAATGCTGGGAACTGAACCCAGGTCCTCCAGCAGAGCAGTCAGTGCTCTTAACTGCCGGGCCATCTCTTCAGCCCCTATGCCTGCATTTTGACTACGATGTGAGGTGAGACATGGGATTTTCCATTTGATGTGACAGTCAGCATACCAGGTTGTGGAACACCTCAGGGTTTAAATTTTTAGTTAGGGATACTCCACCTGCAACGCAGAAGTGCAGCACAGGACAGCCCACACTGGGAAGCTGCTAAGTTCCCAGCCTGCCAGTCTTTTCCCTGGGGCTTCAGATCAACCAGGGGCCCATGTTCTCCCTGAAGTGCTTGGTGTGTGTGTGTGTGTGTGTGTGTGTAACAGACCATGAGCTTATTTGCTGGTGACAATCATGAGGTAGATAATATGGAAGACCTACATAGTTTAACTCATTTCTGAGTCCAAAGCACTACTGATTTACTTTTATGCGTTCCCAGTGGGATTTTGCATTTTTATTACAAGGAAATGCTTTAATCCATCTGAACCCTGCCCCCCCCCAATATCTCTGCTCTCACCCGGTACTTACAGGTATGAAAATAATAGAAGTTTTAAATTATTTACAATTTTAAAACAATCTCTACATTTAACATAAATCAATGGATATGTACACATTTGCTTATTTAAGAGTCACGTGGCGCTTATATGTGCTAAAATTCTTCGTAAACAAACTCATTTGATCCTAGTGACTCTCCTCTGAGATAAAGGTGCTGTTACCCCTGTTTTACAGACAGGGAAACTGAGGCCAGGAAACAAAACCAGAGCAGGGAAGGATGCAGACACTAACTAGACAGTCCATTTCCCAGTCCCTGTCGTGTAAAATCCACTCCCGCAGCCTCTCCAGACCAGGTCTGAGTGGGGCTCAGTGAGTCTGTGACTTCGGTGTTTGGGTGTGTCTCACCTGGTGTCTAAAGGATTGTCAAATGATTGTTAAAATTAACACCCCCACCTGGGCTGGCATCCCCAGAGGAGCCTCCGAGCTTAATGGTAGCCTCAGGCAGATGTTTGTAGGCCTTAGGGGATCTTCCAGAGGTTGCCTCCTCTCAGGGGGGTACTTTGCAGATCCCAGCAGGGACTATGGGAGTCTGGATCCAGGAAACTCTTTTTCTGTCGATTTTCACTCTGTGACCTGGAATACACCCCTGCTCTTAGCTTCGATTTTCCTCTGCCGCACTGCACTAAAGAAAGCAATAGAAAGCTCGTGGCAGATGGTAGCGGCTTAACTGGATAATAGGCTAACAATCGTGATCAGATTGCTCTAATCAGATGCTCAACCCACGGCTATTGTGCGTTATCGATCTTTGAGAAATGCGAGGCTGAAGACAGCCCACTCCAGCGGCTTCTTACAGAGGAGCAACGACCACAGTACCCAGGCGCACTCAAGGATGCAAGGCCCTGGCTGAGATGCTGGGGATGTCCTTAAACCCTAATCCATTCTTTCAGCACAGCTGAATACAGAAATAGTTTTATGGTTAGTGGACTGCGGCCATTTCCCATGAAGAGGGCACCATCTTGTGGCCGGTGCGGTGAACTGACAGGGGACAGTCTAGGATTGTGGGCTGGGAAATCTCAGTGCTGCTTATTCCCAGGCCAGGGCGACCTCCAGAGAGTCCGGTATCCTCAGAGATGGAGAGCCTAGCGCCCACGTTCTTTAACTCTCCCCGTGGAATCCTGATTTTCAGCAGGGTGGGTCTGTCCGGAGATGATGCAGCCAGCAAGCACGTGGGGCTGGCTCTGCAGCCCGGGGCCCTTGACTCCTTGATTGAGGAGTGAGTGTTTTTAAGCCAACCCTGTGGTACTCACGGGTCTTGATGCCCAGATCACAAACACAGGATGCTATCTCAAGGCCTCTCCGTGCCTCTCCCTCCCGGAGGCCCCTGGTGTGCTTCCT